AAGAAAAACACAAACCTGTCCGTTCAGCTCCTTAAAGATTTAACGAAAATGTCTTTTCTGTTATTCACAAAAAAAGGTGCTTGTAAAAATTCCCCGGTATTTGAAATAAGGGTGAGCCTCGTTCTTGAGTCCTGAAATCTTAACGATGCGCAAAAGACCAAAACCTTGACAGTTTTGAGGGTAGCAGTTAGCAGAACTCAAGGCTTAACAAGTTGGATTTATGCAGAATTTCCAGGGAAGAAAAATTAGTGGTAAGATTAGAGGGGATAAGAAAATGGGCTGGTATGACATACTGGAAATGCTCTGTTGACTTTGTGCTGACTAACGACAGTTGAGAAATGCTCTGGTGAGTTTATAATGCTAGTTGGACCGTCTCTCTAATTCTATTTTTTCTCATCTTCGCTCTTGCTGAGCCTGACTCAGTGTGCGTGAGGTAAATTGTAGTGGAAGTTTGAGTTTAGGCAATATATACGTGACATTCTCTTGCTTATGTGTAGTTCAGGTTTGTTTCCTATTAAAACCTTTTGCCTAAGGAACTGTTCTTTGTTCCCTAGAAAGCTAATTGAAGCTTCTTCTTTATTAGCTTTGTTTTTCTGCTTCCTGACATGTCCTTCCTGTTGGTATAACACGATGGCTTTGCGTTGGAGTTCAGCCTCACCGAAAAGAGTCGGGAACCTTGAAAATTGGAGTTTTGCACTCATTGCTTCTCTCCCTCTCTCGTTACGACAGAACAGAAGTATTTAAATGCCCATAGGAGTTCAGCCGCGTATGGAATACAAACTAAAATCAAGGCCACAAGAATTAATGGAAGAACATAGATATTATACATATATATATATTTTTTTTTCAGAGTGGAACCTTTCATCTTTAACTTCTCATGCATAGTACAAGCAAAAAAAAAAGAGGGTGGGGGGAAATTTGAGACAATAGCGTTTCATCACTTATTTTCTTAGGAAGAAACCTATTATTATAGCACTCGAATAGCCCGTGATATGGGCTGGTGAGCGTGCCATGCGAGTCGGGCAGATCCCTTCCCTGCGCAAGAAATCGCGTCCTTGCCGGTGGAGTGGCTTCACTGTTGCGTTGCAGCATCTCCCACGTTTCTGTCGGGAATTACGCTCTGTAATTCCCCACCTGTGGGCACTTTTTTGTAGCCCGTATCTGTGTCTGTCATAGCACTTGAAATTTGCTACAGGCGTGTCTGCACGGTGCGAGGATTAGCCAGAATTCAGTCCATCCGTCTGGTGCAACGGCAGACGTATCCCCCGTGGCACAAGGATTTTACAACAGAATTAGCAGAGGTTCAGGACCTTTTTTATTGCAGTGCTTGCTCGGGCAGCTACCACGTCTCATTCAAGAGGTAATAAAGTAGCTCTTGACCTACAGACGAGTACCTTAAGGGCCTCGTGTTCATTTGTAAAACAACAGGCTGGTTAGCATGACGAAGGCTCTACATTTTGTAGCATTTATAATTCATTGAAATGAGCCTTTATACCCACTTGCCAACGCTTATAAGATATACATATGTGGCTTGCTAGCGTATGACTGCTCTCAACAGTAATTTTCTTGGCTTTGTCGTTGCTGTTTCTTGAGCGCTGACTGTCTTGGTTTTGGATGCCAAACGGTGACCTAGATGACTTAGCTTATAGTCCTTTGTTCCCCGCACATGCAAGACCTTTGTAGCTATTAGCTTTTCTGGTAGGTCATCTCAACCTCGACAGGTTGCACAACTCTATTTTTGCAGCCTGCGTTTCCCTTTGGGGGTTTTTCCACTCCCTTTTTATGTCGGACTTCAGCTCTGGTTCTTCGCTCGAGAGAAGGAAATATAAGAATAGTTAATACAGACAGGTCAGCTCTTCCAGCGTGCCATTAATTTCTGTCTTGCTGTAATTCTGCTGTGGGCTGGAGTACCTTCTCTGTCTTTAGAAGTATACCCAAAAACCTATGTGAAAACCATTTTGTTCTTGGGCTGGTTTTCTGCAAGTGAAATGGAGTTTGTGTTGCTGAAATAGTGATTATGAATCAGCCATACCGTGAATATATTTGACATGTTTGCCTAAATGCTTGCTTCAGATGATGTATAATGCCGCCATATGTATCCAAGAACATTTTGTTGCTTTTAACTTGGCTGGGTAAAAGTAAGAGGCATTGTGATTGTTTTTATTTGCATGTGTCATAAGGGAGCTTGGCACTCTACATGCTTCACAGAGTACTTTCAGTCTAAATGGACGGAAATAATTCTCTTGGAAGGGCGAAGCACACGGATGAGTTGATTCGTGTTAGAGGAGGAGGATTTAAGAGGAAGAGTGAGAGCATTGTTAGAGCATGGGGAAAGACAGGTTGATTCAAGCAAAAGGAATTGTAGTGAGGTGAGAGGGGATTAACAGTGAAAGAAGTGGGCAAATACAGGGACAGAGGAAGACGTGGACCAAAGGATGGGCCTGGAGAGAGATTCCAAAGAGGAGGTCAAGCAGAGTGAAAGCTGTGCACAAATGGGAATGGAAGGCTATCGTTTGAGTGTTGGGAGGAGGAGATGACTGAGCTGCACTATTCTGAATGAGAATCCAGAAAAAAATGCTACAGTAGTCGAGGGATGCTAAAGTAAGGGAGAGCTTGAGGCTCTTCAAGGCTCAAGATCTGTTCCCCTTCCATAGACTGATTTTATGGGAGCCTAGATGGGAAGGTTGGCAAGACGGATAGACGGGAATCAGATATGGCCGTAAGATTGTGAGTGTCACTGTTAAGCTGTTGTTGTAGCTGTAATTCGTGATGAAGAGCGAGAAAGGGGAAAGGGCTCAGGAAGTAGTTTTAGTCATGTTGAATGGGTTATTTGGCCAGAAATTTAAATTATCTTCTGTTAGTAAATAAATTAATTATCGGTGAAGAAAAAGTCGAGGAAAAATGCACAAAAATCCTGTAAGCACTAGCAATGAAGGCTAGTGCAGTGGGAAGGCATGAGGAGAGGAATAGGAGTGTGTGATTAGAGGATTATTGTTAGAGAGAAGGATCACAATGAATAAGAACCATTAGATTATATGTTGCAGCTTGTTTGTATGCCCTGAGCTCCCAAAACATCTGCTGAGTGCTGCCGTGCTGAAAATATTTTCTCAAGTTAGGTGGAAAGCTCTTAAAAAATCGTATTTCGACCAAAATGGTTAGCGGTTCTGATTGCCCAGCCCAGCCCAGCGACTCCCTGCTGAGAAAGATCACGCCTACACTGATGTTCTTGCTTTGTTTTGTCTAAGCATCAATTTGGTAAGGATTATGTGCAATGGGTATAGGTTACCAGTGGCAAAGCTAGAGACTTTTTGGACCGATATTTTCAATCATTAGTGATAATTTTGGATTTTTGGGTCCCTACGAGATGGCACTTGAAAGGACTTGATCCCAACACCTTATAAAATCAGTCCCTTTCAAGGAGTCTCAGTGCGGTTCAAAAATACGCATCCTCAAAACCTGCTATCCAGAACATCCCGTGTGAGAGCTAAAACTGTGGGTTTTTGTCCCCAGAGGTCCGTGGTCACCTCCAGGCTTTTGTTCCTGGAGTATTCAGGAAAAATACAGTAGTTATTAGATGCATTGGAACCCAGTAGGAATCAGGACTACTCACAAGTTCGTCTTCCAGATTCAGCTTCTCTGGTCCCTTTTCTAAGGTTGACGTTCAGTATTAGTTATTCTGATAGAGGACCTTTTTTGTTTTTTCTGGTCATTAATCTTTTGGGGAATCTAAAGAATATTATTTACCAGCATTCTCTTTTGACATTCGGAGTTTGTTTTCGGAGAAGTTTTAGTACTGTGCAAACATCCAAAGGCTAAGTATGTACACATACGTGTATACACCTTACTGATTTCACATTACAGTTCACTTTGATATATTTCCTTTTTCTATACATTTATTTTACATTAATATCACCCAAGTCCAGTGCTCCCACAGCCAAGAGTTGTTTTTTTCAGATACATTAGATATTTTATACAGACCTTTAAATATTTATTTTCGAGTTGGCATCTGTAATCCGTCTTCAGGTGGCACCAAAAAGGTTGAATATAAAAGAAAAAAACTACAGCTCAATAAAATGCAGTGGCAGGGGGGGGGGGGGGGGGCTAAAGCTTAGCCCATTCTAGGATTCTGATTAATTCCTCTTTCTTAGCTCCAGATCCATCCTCACTGTTGTTTGTACATACTTGGGGATTAAAAGAGCTTTCTGGGGCTTTATGCTTATTGTGGCTTAGAGCAACATGTGGGCCAGAGCCTCGTTTGTTTTACTAGGGGAACTTTTAGGTGAGAAGCTCTTCAAGCAGAACACGCTTGAAGAAAAATGCTATTTTTTTGCGCGCTAAATATGAAAGTAGAATTTTTATTTAGAACATACTGTTCTTTATTTCATTGGCGGTGTGTAAGCGGGTATTGATTTTGATGGCGTAATGCAAGGGATGGAGCTAATCTATTAGATTTAGATGCATACTTTGATAAGACATGCCATAAATTTAGCAAATAATATTCCAGAAAATAAGACAAAAAAAGGCAGACTAATACTTAAGGTACCTTGGTAACAGGAGAAGAGTGAAAATAATCGGCATTTGCATGCTGGAAAACAGACTGTATATCAAAACAACGAAAGAAAAAAAAATGGAAAAGAGCTATTTTTACAATAGATTTATTACTGTAATTTCAATTCATGTACTGTAGTCTCTGCTGAAAATTCCTGTGTCTAGTTTACTTAGTATAAATGGATTTAGGTTGGGAGGACAATTCATCTGGGCAAAAGCTGGCACTGGCGAAGTAACAAGAAAAATGGGCAAGCTATAAATGGATTCTTTTTAATTATTATATTCCTTGACACAGGGCAATTTTTAAATCGCGACCAATGTCAGACTTGGATGAAATTCATTCAGGGTTATGTTTCCGGAAGCGTTATCTTGCAAAACTGCCCAACTATAAGCTGAAGAGCAGTCTCTGATTCTGCTTGTTCTTATAATTTTTTTTTTTTTTTTTTTAACAGACGCACTATGAAAGCGGAGAGTATATTATAAGACAAGGTGCTCGAGGGGACACTTTCTTCATAATCAGCAAAGGAAAGGTAAGTTGACGCTCCTTTTAAGAAAAACGTGATGATGATGATGGTGATGTGCTCTTGAAATTCAGTGCCAGCCAACACTTTCTCACCCTCCATCCAGAGGCACAAGCGTTGCAACCCTTGACATTTAATTAAACTTCTTGCTGCTGTATCAGTAGGGGAAAATGGCCTGGAGAGGGAAAACAAAATAGATCTCATGCTGTTTTACACATGTGCTCACAGTGAATGCTTTGGGGCTTGATAACAGTTATGAAGCCTCTTGCTAGATGACCGAAAAGCTCAGTGCTTTTGCCCTTGATTGCTTGTCGACACGGTGTGAATATTCCTGTCTTCGGTACCGGAGAGAGGGCCACGTTATTACTGAGTGCTTCATCTGCTTAATTTCTAAGCGCAGGGCCAAAAAGGAGAGCAGAAATGCCTGCTCGCTAAGTCCCTGAGTACCTTCCTATCTGTTCCAAGCCAGAACAGCTCTGCTCAGCCCAGGGTAGCAGCAGACTTGCTTGGTGGCGTAAAGAAATTCTCCTGGCTTAAATCTTCTATTCAGAATCAAATAATAGGAACCCAGCGAAGTCTGAGCTTTCTCCGTGGGGAAGAAAAAGAGAAAAAAAAAAAAAGTCTGAAGTTTCTGTTCTACTACTCACAGGGGAAAATATGCTTTTTGACCAGTTTTTTAACCTTTTTTCCCGTAGAATCCTGGTGGGATTTTATAGATCTATTTTTTTTCTTCCATTTGAAATTCTTTTTGAGCTAATACTGTTACTCCTGACAAATATTTGGCTTCTTTCCACATAGTGGGAGGCGGATCGTCAAGGGAATGCACCGTGATTTCTCCCTACGGATGAGATGTGATACATAAAGAGTAAACACAAATGGATAAATATGCCTGAAAGCAGGCCAGTGCCAGCCTCCTGATTCATGGCTCTGACATTTGCACCAAGTCACATATTAGCGTAGGCCTTGTGTAATTAAAGATAACAAAAAGCCCCTGGCGTTCATCGAGGAAGAGTGCGGGTGTTGTATACTCAGTCCTGACCTGCGAACGGCACATATGTTGAATTGTTTCCTGAGGCTGTTGCCAGCTATCAGGTACTAAAACTAGCTTTTCACCTTCATCTTCCACTCTCGAGCTTGGAAAGCAAATCTTCATCAGAAGAAAAAAAGTGATATTTTTCAGGCGAATCAGATAATCATGGACAGGTTTCTGAAATGCATGTAATTATGGACTGTGCAGATATTATTAGCTCTGAAGGAGCTCCTAAGCAGGATCCTTCTCTTGCGTTCTCTGCTCTTCACTGTTGAGTTTGACGGTATTCTCTGATGCTTTTTCAGTTCCTCCCACCCAGAAGTAAAATTACTTGTTCTCCCAACATAAGGACAACCACGATGCACACTTCAAAATCCTTTCTAGGGCAGACCTTTTTCCATGGGTGGTAGTCCATCCTCTGTGCTTAAGAGAATGTCTGTAATCCCTGCTTTCCAACTTTGCCAGGCAGAGCGATCACCTGAGTTAGGAAGTTGTCATTAATACACTCCAGAAGCTTCCTGGGTTGCTTATGCCCCACTGCATTGTCCCTTCAGCAGATGTTGGAGTGGTTCAAGTCCCCCTTGAGGATCAGGGCCAACAAACATGAGGCTTCTTCGAGTTGTCTAAAGCAAGCCTCATCTCCTTCTTCCTGAGCAGGTGGTCTGTAGTAGACTCCCACCGCGACATCACCTACATTGATCTGCCCTCTAATCCTCACGCATCTGCCCTCAGCTGGCGCATTGTCCATCCCTAGGCAGA